CCTGGCCTCTCCCTCCCTCTTTCCCCACTCCGCTCCCCGGGCGGCGGGCGGCTCCCTTTCTCCGGCGTGTACAGATTTGGGCAGAATGTGGTTCCAAGGCTCTCGGTCAAGAATTCAGAGGAGGAAAGTTTGCTGGCAGCGCCGCCGCTCACACCACTCCCCGCCCCGGGGGCGGTCCTCGAAGCCGGGCCGCGCCGCCCGGGCTCCCCTTCCCGGAGCCTTCGCTCTTGCCTGGGAAGGCCTGGCCTTGCATAAGGGCCCGTGCGCCTGCCCCAGCCCTGTGGGCAGCGCACCCTGCTCTGCTCCGTTTAGCGAAGATTCTGCTCTTCAAACTTAATGCAGTTAAAAGGGGCAGCGATCCGTTTTATTTTAGGCAGGGAAATGAGGGCGCAAAAAGGAGACTGAGAGGGGCCAGAGAACAGGACAGCAGGTTCGTGCTGGTGGCAGGTGGATGGATGGAAGGTTCCTTGAGAGCGGAATTTCCTATTTGGACGCCTGTGCAGAGGGAGGTGGCTGTAAAGATCAAGTAGCCTTGATAACACGAAGGTGGCCTGGACAACAGAAGCCCCAGGGAAGGAAAGGGGGCGGGACTTCTGCTGCCAGAAGGGATGATCACTATCCGGATCTTCAGTGGGACCCGCGCCTCCGCCAGGGCTTGTAGAGGGGATGAGGGTGTGGGCCGTATGCAGGGAGCACCGTGCCTGCGTCTCCAGCGGCAAGCCCGGCTACAGCAGGCACACCAGAAACAGCTAACGCGTAGGCACTGTGCGAAAACTTTGCCAACTCTGTTGCATTTATTCCTTAGAACAACTGAGCCCTCCTTACTCCCATTTTACACACGGTGATGCTGAGACCTGGATGGGCTAAGTGTCTTGGCCATGACCACACAGCTCTTTGCAGCCGACTGAGGACTCAAACCTCGGACTCCAAAACTCATGCTATGGGACGACTTCGTATTTGGGAGGCCTAAGACAAAAGGGTTCAGCTTTGGGGCAGAGTGAAGGGACCCTGTGTTTGGAGGATAGGCAGGTAGGCTTGGAGCAGGTGGATATGTATGTGCTCACAGTTCTCTCTCACTCACATTTCACCATGGACACAGCGGATCTTTACCCCTCAGGATGTTACTGACGCGATTCATTAGCAGGAGTTTCTGAATTCCTGGACTTCCTCCTTGAGGAGCTGTTGTCTCTGGTTCTTCAGGGAAATTCCCTGTGCCCAAGGCTGGTATCCATACGCATAGTTACTGGAGTAGCAGATGAGATTAAAAACAATTCTCCAAATTTCCATTTTTCTGGGAATTCGTGGGATTCCTGGCCCACATATATTTTATAAGGGGCCTAACCTGGAGCCTAAGGATGTGGGTGTCTAGGAGTAATGATGAGGGGACATTCTTCAGTCTAGTATGAATGTGTGTCCCTTTGCTGCTTTTCCCCATCAGCTATGAAACACACCTGATACTGTTAGGCCCCTCTGATTGTTTCTTTCTAAAGGGTTTCGAGATCCCACTAAGGATTTTCTTTTTTTGTGTGGTTCAGTTGCTATTTGAACATCTACACACTCATAACACCTACATCTTAACAACTACACACTCATACGAACCCAGAAGACACCCTAAATTCTCCCCAAAAGTGAGAGAAAGATCTGACATCCCAGCCTACTAAGGAAGTCAGTGGGAAGCCTGGTTCTCAAATCAAATATCTACACAATGTTCCAACAGAGTACAGAGGAAATCAGTGTTTAAGAGGCCGTGTGGTGGGATAATACCTTAGGGTGCTATCTAATAGTTCATTTATTTCTAAACTAGTGTAACTGCCACATTGATAATTAAATATCCCATAGGAGCTCTAGGAGGATCTCCTTCTGTTATCCCTTCTCCATTTATTTTTAGGGTAGGAACTGAAGCCACCAAAAGGCTTACTACACAACCCAACGCCCAAGCCTTGTTTTGGGGCAGCGGTCAGTGGATCTGTGGCTCCTCAGGCTGACAACTAAGTGAAGAAGGAAGCTGGCTCCGCCCAACAACTCCTACAAAGGAAGGGCCATGGTTGGGGGCGGCGGGGGGTGGGGGGTAGGGGGGAGATGGGGGTAGGTATTCAGTGGTTCTGGGCAGCTGATTCATTCACAACAGAATGGCCATTTTCTCCAGCATGGCCAACTATCCCTTGTCTTTTTGCCATGACAGCCTAGAAGGTAGAAGCTAGGGCCAAGGCTGCTGCTAAGGAATTCTTCCTTCTACAGGGGCCTAATATTAGGCTTTCCTTATATTGTGGAGGGGGCCCTGGAGGGTGGTTAGAGACTCTCTTCCTTCCTGCTGGGCAGCCTGAAGAGGAGCAAGAGGATCTGGTGAGCAAAATGAAGCAAAGCTTAGGGTAGTGCCTGGAGCTGACAACCCAATTCCCTGCTGAACAGCATGCAGTTGGCTCAGGGCTGTTCCCCACCTGGGAGCTTCCTGCCACTCACAGGCTACCCGGCACACACTACTGGGTCAATGGTCCAGGCCTGTCTGCCACCACAGCGCCCTGTGCCAGAGACCTTTCCTGGCCTCTGCTGGATCACATGCCTAGTGTCATTCCTAGGGACTCCAGAGGCAAGTCCAGGCTAATATGCTCTGGGAAAACAATGGACGATGTATGTGTTTGCCTTTTGACCTAGATAAATGATACCTGGATCCCAGGTCTGGCTCTAGGGCAGGGGAGCTTCAGGCCTGGCTATGGCAGAACTCTAAAGGAGGTACATTGGGTTTTCACCACCTCTTAAATCATCTCAGAGAGAGAGAGAGAGCGCCACTTACTTTCACATGCACAAGCTGCTGCTGGCTCTGTCACAAGAAGATGAACTACAAGTAATAAAATCAAGATGAAGTCCTGTGTAAATCTTTGCAGCTTACAAAGATTGTAGAAAGTTGAAGATGAAGGGGATATTAAAGAGCATCTTATTCTACCGCCTCATTTTGCAGCTGTAAGAACCTCGGCCCAGGGAGGGGGATTTGGGAAGCCACCATCACACAGCTGCTCCACGGCAGGAACTGTGCTGACTTTCTGTGGCTATTGCCATGACACCCAGCATTGTTTGACTTTTGAAGATAGTAAGGGAGAAAGCAGGCCTTCCAGCGTCTTCACCTCCCATGACGTTTATTGTTTCCAGCTGTTAAAAATTGGCCCTTTAAAAATGGGTCACCCTGCCAGTCATTGAAGGTCACTGTGGCGGGGAGTGGTGATTTAGAGGGCTGCAGAACAGGCAGGTGATTGGAGGCATAATTGCCAGTCTCCTCCCTGGCACCTGGGATTTCTGTCATTCAAGTCCCTGAGTGTGTGCCCTCAGTAAATACTAACCCACAGAGTCAATTGCTAACTGCAGTCATCTGTGCATTTGCCCTCTGGGGACAGAAAGCCGGGGAAAAATGCTATTTCCTAATCTAGTTGGCCTTGGATGGGGAGATGTTTTTGCCTAATGGAAGGCTTCGAAAAGTAAATATTGTGTATTTAGGACCTACAGTGCTCCCCAGGATGCTGTAAGGGACCTGGTTATAAAGAAAAAAAACCTCACAGATGGCTTTGTCTTTGTCTTTGTCTAAGTCCTTTTGGTTCCAAGTAATCAACTTGAGCTGACTTAAGCATTAGGGGACATATTAGAGTATAGCAGTATCTCTTGAAGTTCAAGGGCAGACTGGCCTCCAGGTAACCTGAGAAGCTGCTAGGAACCTAGGCAGCCCACCTTCTCCAGCCTTCTCCTCTGCTTCACATCTCTGCAATCCACTTTCTTCTCTGTGAGTAGCTGGGTGGAGGATAATCCCTCAATAACTACCACATCTGCATCTTCTCTCCTAAAGAGATTAGCCAAAGGTGAGTGGCTGTCCTCATTCCAATACTAAATTCCTGGGAGAGGGAATTTGGTTGTCCCAGCCTGGGTCAGGTGCACAGCTTGATCCAATCAGGCGTGCCCTGGAGAGGGTGCTCTGAGACAGGCACATCTGGGGACGCTCATCCTCATGCAAGACCGAAGGGCAGTTCTCCAGGAAAGAAGAGAGGAGCGTGGAGGGCAGACATTTCAAATATGCGTTACAGGCTTCAATCAAATTAGTTACTGATATAGAAAAATGGCAATGTCTAAGTAGGGTGCTTGAGAAACAGTTTTCAAGAGAGAACTGTAGAGATTTTGACTATTTGCCTAACTTCCTGGATGATAAATTGTCTATCATGGAACTGTTATCTTTTTTTTTTTTTTGAGACGGAGTCTCACTCTGTTGGTAAGGCTTGAGTACAGCGGCATGATCTCAGCTCACTGCAACCTCCGCCTCCCAGTTTTAAGTGATTCTCCTGCCTTAGCCTCCTGAGTAGCTGGGATTGCAGATGCCCACCACCACGGCTGGCTAATTTTTGTGTTTTTAGTAGAGATGGGGTTTCAACATGTTGGCTAGGCTGGTCTCGAACTCCTGACCTCAAGTGATCTGCCTGCCTCGGCATC